TTCTGCCGCACACAGAGAGAATTTGCTTTTAGAATTTATCCTGAAAATCATGGTAATCGTGGGACAATATGGTATTGAAAAAATTGTATAAGAGTTTGTCTGATTAATATATTTATTACAATAAAAAATATTAATACGTAAGAATTTTATAAGAATTTTTTATCAAAATTTTATTAATATTAATTTACTACTGCAAAATTAATTAAACTATATATTTTATTGTGGTAGATATTGATATATTTTTGTGGTAAATATTAATCGAAGAAAACTCATAATGATATTATAATGATACGGAAGAATTTTATAAGAGTTTCTCTGATTAATATATTTACTATAATAAAAAATACGTACATACATAGTAAAATTAATCAAACATTTGATATGTTATTGTCGTAGATATGGGGTAAATTCTAAGAGAAAATTCTCTCTGTGCAAAATGAATCAATTTTTGAAATTATCGACGAAATAAATAATCGCCTCGTAGATATATCAAGCGAATATAAGAGGTATCTCAATGCTAAAGATAATTAAGAATATATAGACAAGTTTTTTTTTCGAACGTGATTAATCGCGCGTTTGACTCGACTCTTTTTTTCTCCTTTTTATTATAGAAATCCGCGTGCACATCGGCGGCGGCAAATTTTCCGTTGTAATGTGTAACTCGAGAGAGGGAATGCGAGCGAACACACACACACACACACAGAGAGAAAGAGAGAGAGAGTGGTCGAGCTCTCTTGCGCCCGACGCAAAAAAGCCACGCTCGCCAAGTTTTCTTAAGCGAAGGCACGAGTACACGGCAAACTTGCCGCAAAAAAGCGAGAGCTTTTTCGCCGTGCATCAGCGCCAGCAGCGCCGGCGTCGATATGAGCCCCTTTTTATCCCCTATAAAATGTATAATGTCGCCTATCAGACCGTCGTGTAGTAATAATAACGCAAGCATATAATTACGGTAACTCTTTGATCTGTCTTAATAATCTCATGCTCGAGATCGAAAAAATCTTTGTCTAAAAAAATCACGACACAATATAATGGTAAAAAAAAACATTAGATATTTATCGACATAAATAACGTGTACGTTAAAGATACTATATATATATATATATACGACGAAATGAAAATGATTAAAGTAATCGTCCGAGAAAAATGTAAAGCGGGAAAGAAAGATCCTCTACTTCCGTATAGCAATTTCATCTTTCGCGGAAATATCGCGGAGCAAAACCATGCGCTTTTTGCACATCGTCATCGTCACCGTCGTCGTATAGTATGGTAGTCAACACGCTTACACGAGCGAGCTCCGTTCGTAAGAAATGGGCAAAAACGCAGCTCGCCGGCCAGGAAGAAACTGCAGGTTTTGCGCGATGCATCGTGAGTCATGCGGCATCGCGAACGGACAGAGAATACGAGTGAAAGAGACCGTTCGAGTGTTAATAATATCGAAAACGTCATTGAAACCGCGAGATGCACCAAGATACAAAAGCGTCTCGGTACACAAACAGAATTAAAAAGCATGCTAATTGTGGGACAATATATGGCATTGGAAGAATTTTTACGAGTTTCTCTAATTAATATTTTTACCGCAATCAAAAACGTTAATATCTACCACAATAAGATATAAAATGTTTGATTAATTTTACTATATGCATAGTAAAATTTTATTATACATATCGAAAGTTACACCGAGAGAATGTTCTCTTAGAATTTACCCTGAAAATCATGGTAATCGTGGGACAATATGGAATTTTATAAGAGTTTCTCTGATTAATAATATTTTTATCGCAATAAAAAACATTAATATCTACCACAATAAAATATAAAATATGTTTGATTAATTTTACTATGTGCATAGTAAATTTTTATTATATATATCGATGAAAGTTACACCGAGAGAATGTTCTCTTAAAATTTACCCTGAAAATCACGATAATCGTGGGACAATATGGAATTTTGTAAGAGTTTCTCTGATTAATAATATTTTTATCACAATAAAAAATATTAAATACCTACCACAATAAGATGTAAAATATGTTTGATTAATTTTACTATGTACATATTAATATTTTTTCTTGTGGTAAATATATTAATCAGAAAGAACTTTTATTCTTCCAATACCACATTGTTCCACGAATATCATAATTTTCCGGATAAATTTTAAAATTCTGTCCGTGTAGAATTTCCATCGATATACACATAATAAAATTGATGTCAAAAATGCTTGAAAAAAAAATGGCAAACGTAATCTTGATTTGATTCGTTGCGTATATATAAGTGTTATTGTGTTATTAGTGAAAACTCGATAATAATATCGAATCCTGCAAGTAAAATGTGTGCCTCGGTGAAATATAACTCGCGAGATAAAAATATTATGTTTTTAATGAGTATGTTTTTGCTGTTTACTAATTACTTGCTTCGCTTGTTCCCGCTTTGTCACGCTAATGTTGCTAGTAGAAACGGTAAACATTTTCCGCAAAAAGCGTCAGGGGCGTTACATGGTATATCGTGTTGTGCGATATGCTACTTTTAATCATCAGAGCTTCTATGAAATTATACCACTTTGCTTTTTTTTTAACGATTTTTAACAGAATAACATAATAATTATATCTTGTGAAAAGAGAAAGAGAGAGAAAGCTTTTATCGAACCATTTGAGAAAAATTGGAGAAAACAGCATGCGAGCTAACGGGTATTCTTCGCGGAGGTAAAGATCGGGGAAATTACGAAAGCGATAAATAACGACGCAAAAAGCCACGTCCCAAAGAATTTTCGAAACAAGCGACATATCGAACTCGGTCGAGCGCTTTTTGCCTCGATGCACCGAGTCGCGGTAAAACGCCCTGAGTAGACGAAGACGAGCTCGCCCGCAGTTTCGTCGAGATGGAATAAGAAGAAAAATCTTGTTTTTCTCGCACGAGAAAGAGAGAGAGGGAGCGAGAGAAAGAAGCTGCAAGCTTTTTGCCGCCGGTATGACTCATCCAGTTTTTCGACCAGAGAAAGAGAGAGAGAGAGAAAGACACACACACGAACATACACAGAAGCGCGATAGCCCACGATAGCTCCTCGGTCGAAACTTCTTCGCCTCGTCGGGAGGTAACTGCTGGCGATTACATTTCTTGCGTAAATCCACCGGCGAGAGAGCAGAGCATTTGCGATCGAAATGCGACTCGCGCACGATGCGCGATTTAGAAACGAGTTCGCGGATATATACGAGTGCGCGCGGTATAGCGATCGAATCATAGTTCGATCCCTTGGCAAAATGTATACAGGATGTCCCGAAACTTTTTACTGCCAGATTCCTGGTATCGTGGAGAGACGATTTTTCCTCAGCGAAAATCTCGAGACACCAATCATTTTCGAATTACAAGCACTTGAAAATCCCTTGATTTTCTTATTTGGAAACTAAGTCTTGTGCTGCATTTTCTTCGGTTAATTTTAGGTAGAGTTTGCTTTAATGGAATTTTAATATAAGGCTTACAATTAGTTATTAGTTATAAAGGTACATAATAACATGAATTGGAAACATGCTAAAAATGATGGCCTCCCTCAACATTTTCACTCAGAAAAATCGTCTTCAAATGATATACCAGGAATGTGCTATTAAAAACTTTTCCACCAGTTCTGGGACACCCTGTATATAGAGACCACCTTTTGTTAGAGAATTTTATCTCTTATTGTTAGAATTTACTCTGAAAAAAAGCATGCTAATCGTGGGATGTAGTAAATCACGATGTGGTATTGGAAGAATTTTATCAGAGTTTCTCTGGTTAATATTTACCACAATAAAAACTATTAATATGTACATAGTAATATTAATCGAATATTAGTATTTTATGTTATCGTGGTAGATAGTAATATTTTTTATTGTGGTAAAAGTATTAACAGAGAAACTTATAAAATTCTTCAAATACTATATATTGTCCTATGATTACCCTGATTTTCAGGATAAATTCTAAAAGAAAATTCTTTCTACAATTCGTGGCTTCCTGGATTAAAATACTGTCGAATTTTCTACGATTTCTTCAAAGCGTAAGAGTTTTAAAGTTTTATATAAAATTTGCACCTTAGCAAGTGAAAAACAGAAAGCTTCGGAGGATTAGAACCATTATCACGCCGAGGGAGAAAGAGAAAGAGAGAGAATATTCTTATTTATTTGTTTAGAATATTTAAGAGAAGCTTTATTCTCATAATCAAAGAGATAAACTAAAAAAATGGATTTTTAAAAAATCAAAATACATTATTCAATTATGCATTATGCAAATAAAAATAAAAATATTTATTTATTGTAAACTTGTAATTGAGTGATTTTACACATTGTATAAAATGCATACAAGTTTATATCATCAACCTGCTATGTGTTTTCCTTTAAGTAATTATTATATAAATGCTTAATTTTTTTAAATCAAATATAATCAATGAATATCTTATAATTTAATCCTCTCTTCTCCTCTACTATTTCTTTATAAGTGTATAAAAATAATTACAAATGTAATTCACACAATATAATATAACAATCAGTCTAATCGTTACAATAAATCAATAATCATTTTCGTCGTTGATACGACGAAACAATAACACAATGCGAGGTGTCATCTCGAAAATTATATATACCTCATAATTTTATTTTATTCCTTTCCTGCATTCCAAATTGATAATTTAATTGTTCATGTGCGAAGAGCAATTAACAATTTGATATTAAATAATCGCAAATAAAATACAAGCGCTTTAATAATCGCACATGTGTATACCATATCTTGTATGTATAAAAAAAATACATACACATATGCAAATAATTCCACTTGATGCTACAAATGCTTCAAAATATTCTCCCTCTCCTTTATTCAAAGAAAGAACCTTTATTAAATATCTTTATTTAAAAGATCCTACCTTTACTAAAAGAAAAGAAGAATCGCTGCGAAACATTTTACACAGGCACAAAAAAAAAATGAAATCGTTACGATTTCTCCAACATGTTGAAAATCGCGGTGAAATAATTTTGAAAAGAACTTACAGGTGCCGTTGACATTTCTGCTGAGTATCCTGGGCACGGCGGTCGACTGTTGATGGTTGCCGGAAGGATTGGCCACCACGACGAGCGGATTCTGCGGAGCGCAGGACGCGGACGCGGTTCCGCCGTTGGTAGCGGTCACGACGGTGCTCGGCGCGGCGGAAGGCACCGGCGAGGGCGTCGCGACGCCTCGCGTTACCGCAGCCGCCGCCGCCACCGTCGTCGTCGCCGCCGACGTCTCCTCCGCGGCTGGCGCACCGACGACCACCACGCGCGCGTCCATCGGTGCTACCTGGGATTATCGCAGCACCCGCTCACGGGACCGCGACGAGCACGGACTTCCAGATCGACCAGCATCCAACGAGGCGCATTCGATCGCCCGCGCGTTTACGTTTCGATCTCGAGAATTTAGAAAGAAGAAAGAAAAAAAAGAAAAGAACCAGCGCAAGCTCTCCTTCCCGAAGATCTCGGCGGTTATCGCGCCGCGCGAATCATCGTCCCGCGACGATTAGGTTAACTCGCGAAAAGAGAAAAGAAAATATCGCGACTCGATGGAAAAATAAAGGCGTAGTCGAATAACGAGAAAGAAACGCGGGAGAGAGAGCGAGCACCATGTACGAACGTGATGAAAAAAAAGATCGTGACGCACCGTGCGAGACTACAACACCGACGCGTTTCGAATGCTGGCGCGGTACACATTGCGCGCCGCGCGACGAATACACCGCGTATCTTTCGCGCTTCCCCCACTCCGCCGCCGATGCTTCTCGACCAATAGCGTTGCGGCGCAGCGCGCCGCGCCGCGTCCCGGAATTTGTCAATCAAAGCGGAGTAAGAATGCGATTGACAAATATTTTATTTACATCATTTGTCGTGTCAAATTATTCATTTAAATGATACATTATACAAACTTTCGAACAACCCGTCATTAATATACACACGCTCGACTGATTGTGACAAAGAAAACATGATTCTTATATAAATATAAAAAAATGTATCACAAATTTAATTTTTAAACAAAGGAACTTTTAAATGATCGTAAAGAAGGCAGAATCCGCGGGAGATTTGAAAGAAAAAACTGTGAAACTAGGACATCCCATATGTCACGCATGAAGCATATGGTAAACAAGAGTGATATTGCGTCAATAAGCGAGAGATGTTTACCTTTTGTGTGTTACATATAATTTTAGAGCGTTAACGGAAAATGGAAAACTTTCAATTCCTTCCAATATATACCATAAATTAATATAAAACTTTATATTAATTTATATTTACGTACATTTCAGATATCGTTTTTAACATTAATGAAATAATCAATTTTAATTCTTTAAAGAATATACAGGGTGTATCTAAATATACGTACGAAAAATTTAAAACAATTCTTTGTCAAAAATTAAAAGGGTTTTCTTATATAAACATATATTGATTCTGTCTCCAAGTTTTATTTTCTTAATTAGTCTGAAATTTGAGAAAAAAAACTCCAATTTTTACCTCCCTCTTTAGAAAAGTGTAACTCCTCAGGGAGTGAGATATGAGAGTATATGTTTAATAAAAAACTAAAAAACTTCCCTTAATTTTCGACAAAGAATTATCTAAAATTTTTCGCACTTATTTAGATACACGCTGTATAAAATGTTTTAAATATACTTTTACTCTTTGAAAAATTTAAATCATAATTGTACGCATTACTAAAATTATATTTATAGTAATTTTTTATTACATATATGTAAATACGTAATAAAAAAGATTCATGTTTTATTTAATTTTTTGCTTGTATCTTATAATTTCTTATTATATGCGTTGATTCTTAGTAAACTTAATTACACAGCTCTTACAAGCCTTTTTATACTCCTTAATTTTAAAAAAGATTCTATTTCAACGAATAATATCCAGTTTCTGATCGAAAAAAAAACATAAATGTATTACGTACACTGAAAAAAAAATGGTTAATTTGACTAAATACCTTTCAACTAAGTATTATTTTGTTAATTGAACATATAAAAATATTTAAATTAAATGCAACATATTAAATCTAACAAAACGTATATTTAACTTGAATACTAATACATGTCCAATTAAAAAAATAGTAAATTTAAGGGTTAGTTAAATTATAGTAGTAAAAATTTTTGTATGACACTAGACACGCGTCCTAGAGCCAAAAAGCGGAAGCGAATCTCAACTTTTGGCCACGACGGATAATTAGCATCGCTACCCCTGCCGGGGCACGTCACGAATGTCACGATTTTCCGCGACGAGCCAATCGTTGGAGAGGCGTGGCCGCGCGAATCGGTCAGAGATCGAGCTCCGCAGAGTCTCTCTCTCGTCTCTCGCAGGGGTCCATGGGAGAGATGCGAAAACCGTCATGTGTCCCCCTTTTCGTCTCTCCTCTACCGCTCGTCTTACCGGTGTCGTCGTGGTATACATAAGCTCCTCCCCGTCGTGGCTGTCATAAAAACGCGCCCCCTGCCTGCCTCGTGACGGCGGGAAACGACTGACGAGGGGATGGAACGATGGGAAGGGCGCGTCGTAAAAACCTATCTTCCCTCTGCGCAACACCCTTAGCCGCTATGCACCGTGCAATCCCTGCGAAATACACGCCTGCCTCCTTTACGTATCTGTACGCACGTGGAGAAACCGACATTTTTGCAGGGTGGTACCCCAATTCCTCCACGGGGAACACCATGTGGCTCCCCGTAAAATTCATGTCCTACCCCTAGAGTCTTCCTTCTCGCTTTCTCCTCCCTTCTGCGTTGCATGCCTTGGCATTTGAACGTTAAAATTGAAGGGTTAATAGGAGAAATTGCCCCAGCAAACACCGATATATAATTGTTACGTTACTATAATAAAACGGAATATAACAGGTAATATAACGTGTACGTTACATCTAACATCCATGTTAGTTGTAATTTCTCACTCATAGATGTAACATTTTAATATAACATATATTACATTGTAGTTATATTGTAATTATATACCAAATAGCACATTGATGTATTGATAAGTCAGTGCTATCTTGGGATATAATGACAATATAACTACAATGTAATATATGTAATATTAAAAATGTTACATCTATGAGTGGGAAATCACAACTAACATATACGTTACATGTAACATGCTTAAGTATATAACATTTATATACTGTGTTTGTTGGGCCCAGCAAACACCGATATATAATTGTTACATTGCTATAATAAAACGGAATATAACAGGTAATATAACGTGTACGTTACATGTAACATCCATGTTAGTTGTAATTTCTCACTCATAGATGTAACATTTTAATATAACATATATTACGTTGTAGTTATATTGTAATTATATACCAAATAGCACATTGATGTATTGATAAGTCAGTGCAATATAACTTGGGATACAATGACAATATAACTACAATGTAATATATGTAATATTAAAAATATTACATCTATGAGTGAGAAATTACAACTAACATATACGTTACATGTAACATGCTTAAGTATATAACATTTATATACTGTGTTTGCTGAGGCGATACAAAAGATTTGTCTGGATAATCCTCGCTCCTTCGAGATATAATGCCAAGGCTGATAGAGTTTGAAAACTGCAATCATATTGAAATATAAATAAAAAGAACATTTCTCGTTATAAAATGTTACATGTATCGAATGTGTACATCTCTCTAATAGAACAACTTTCGCATCTTTTAAGAATGTATATATAGTTACAGATTTTATATACACATTCAATAGTAATTATTGATACAATTTAAAATTTATAAAGCATATTCTGTATTCTTTGATCAATTGGTTTCCACTGAGATTATTAAGCTGTCACTTCAAAAGTGACTTAAAAAATACCTATATCGCAAAATTTGTTATCAAAAGTTTATCTCTCTCTCTCTCTCTTTCTTTCTCTTCTTTCGTTCTCCAAGTTTGCAATAACACATTAAATTAAAAGAGTCCTAAAATTTTCGGGGAATCTCAGTTTTCCCTGAAAAATATAGATTTCTCTCCTTCTCTCTCAACTCTTTCTTTGAACCATCCTTCATCGCTTCTCACTACCGCGGATTGTTCTTTTTCCTCCTTCGTCGACATCACTGCGATTCTTTTTGCCGCCACCCCCTGCTCTCTCTCTCTCTCTCTCTTATTTTTGCCCTCTCCCGCCTTTTCCCTCCCGTCCATCCCGATACGTTTTCTCCTCTCCGTACCCTTCCCCATTCCCACAGCCTTTCTCCGGACCGGGGTAGGAAAAGCGCGAGAGACTTTTATTTTCGCACGTAGAAAAAGCAAGGCGGAAAGGGAGGTTTTGCCGGCAGACCGTTACTGCGAGGCGGACGTTTTTTGCGACAGCTTCGTAATCCGTGAAAGGGTGAGAGAGCGCCGCGCCGGTAGAAACCAAAGGCGTCGCGACGCTGGCTCCGACTCTGCCTCTGGCTTGCTCGCTTATTCGCGATTTGCATACAGCGATGCCGATTGCGCGTGCATTACGCGAGCTCGATGTTACCGTTCATTCAATCATTTCACTCCTTTTCTCTCTCTTTAGGGCATTGCTCCATTATTCAAACAATAGCGACAAAGACATCATTTTACGTGACAGAAATCTACGCAAAAATGCAAAATTAAATTTTTGAGTAACAAAATATTATTTTATCTACGTATATCTCTATAAACTTTATTTTATTTTTCCTCTGAATGTAAAAAATATTAATTTATGTATAGAAATATTTTTGAGCGGTACAATATTGTAACAAAATTATCCATTTCTTTTTCAATATGAAAAAATAATGTATAAAATAAAAATTATATAAAAAAAAATATATATATATATATATATATGTACACAATGCTAAATGTGCGACATGAATACGGGCCAGAAGAGAGAAAAAAGTGCATAGAACGTGCTTAACGAAGGAACATAGTTCCTTGGCTAGAAAATATGCAAATTTACAGGAGGAGCCTGAGAAACACTTGGAAAGGGTCGCGCAATGGACAATTTTTTGACCAAAGCGTACTAATGCTAATAGCAGAAAAACCGGCAAAAAACGAAGGGGATAGGCAACCGGTGAACATTACTATGCGTGAGATTCTCGACTGAAATGCCATAGATGATCGCAGCTGTTTTATTTCTCGCGGAAGTCACGCAGGATCGAGATACCCTAATGATAATTTTATTTCGAGATTCTAACATTTTTTTCAACAGACAATTCTCATCGAGAATACGGAATAAATTATCGTGTGAATCAACAATCGCAAATTAAAGACGACGGCTTTAATATATAGGGGATTATATAATAAATATATAGTTATTAAATAGTCTAAATATGCCAAAATTATCACTATCAATTACTAATTCATCGTTATTATCAATTCCTGCCTAATTCAAAAATTTGTAAGCTGTTGCTATGTATATTTTTCCGAAAGATTTCTAAAATATATTTCTAGAAATAATTAGCCATCTTATCATATCTTATAAACAAGGCATATTTTATAATTATCATACCGTTGTTCGGCACGAAAAAAATTTCAGTATTGTTACTGTCCAAAAAAGTAAAACTCTTTCATTATAAGATAAAGATGTTAAAGTTTTTCTTTTCTAGAAAATATATTTCAGAATCGTACCTACAACGTTTTCTCGACTATGTCACGCTATGTTTGATAACTCTTAACTCTGCTCTTAATACTATTGTTATAGGAAGCGACCCGATCGTTTCAAATCATATGTTAATTTAATTAAAATATATAGGATGTACTTGGTATAATGTTCATTATCGATCACCATGTGCCGCAATCGATATTTCATTTATCAATATCTTAATTTTACGTAAGAAGCAAGAATACTTTGGTATCATCTTAAATGATCCTTTTATTTAACATGCGATATAACGAAATTGTTATTACAAGTCACGTACCGATATTATATTTTATTCTGCATAGGAAGACGCATTAGAAAATAATACTCGACAATGGCAAGAACGGACGTTATTCAATATGTTCAATCGATGAATTATATATTTTAGTTACATTCTATTGCGTGTAAAATCGCGCAATAAAATTTTAAGACACGGAAAATGTATATATACTACCTATATGTATAAAACACACACAATTATTATAAAAATATAAGTTATCAAAACGTAAAAAATAATCTAGCAGCACTTATTATGTATATGTATATATTGTAATAAAAGTCGAAGAGGTAATCAGTGTAATTGTAAAAATTAATGCACACTTATACTACTTATTTTCAGTACAAATTCTTGTCTACTACTAGTCTTGGCGTCTACAAAAAAAAGAGAATAATTTTACCTTATATTTCTAAAATCTTATCAACGGCAGATAGGTGTGCAATGTACATATTAAGTAGTGTTTTATCAATTTTAGCAATGTACATATTAAAAAACCTTATTAAGCATATACGAGTACCGTATATGTATAAATACGTAAAAATAGAACCAATTAATCATTAAATGAAATCGAGCACACTATTGTTAATTATTGTAAATTTGTTATTTTATATATTGGCAGTCATTCACGAAAATGATTCATAAATGTTTGAACAACAAGTTACATTTCTTCCAATTTCTCTTCTATTCATAAGAGAAAGAAAGAGAGAATAAAAAGAGTAATATTTGTTATCATAGTCTTAATAAGATTTGGATTAAAAATAAATAAGATTAAGCAGAAATACATTACACGAAAAATTCTTAAATTACACGTCAATGAAATTAACATATCTTCAACTTATCTTAACAAACAGCTTTTTAGGAACTCGTATTAGCGCTCTATTCTTAAATTTATTTAATAATTTTGGAAGCAATGCATCTAATTATAGTTCTAATCATCTAATTATAGGTAGTTTATTTACTAGAAAAACATTACTTAGAAGAAATAATTCTTTAGTCTCATAATACTTTCTGATGTTTTTGCGATACTTTTGAACAAATACTCGTGTAGCTTTTATTCGTTATAGCATACAAAACGTATGTAATTAAATTAACAAGGAAAAATATGGATCAAAATAGGAAAAAAAATACTTACGTACATTTCCTTGTGAATGAGAATATACATATGAAAATACTTTATACATTGTTTCCCTCTTTCCGTCTCCAACATCTCAATGGAAGGATGAAAGGCAGTGGGAATTTATACACAACCGTATTCGTACCATATTGGACTTCCGGTCTTTGGTTCTTTGTCAACGGAGGCTTCCGCGAGTACTTCATCCCGCGTCGCGTCCTTTATCGGAGTACTGCTGACGTTTTTGGATTCGTTTATGACCGCCGATACTTTATTATAGATCAAAAAGGGCCGTGACTCAACTTGCGTTTCCGATTTTGCATTCGTCTCCATCTGTACAGCGTCGTTTCCTTGCTCCTGGAAGGGTTCGCTAAGTATCCTGTCCGTCTGCATTATAATAATTATCTTAATAATGCTATATTCAATGCGACAGATTTTATGATTATTATACAATTATTGCAAAACAGTAACAGTTGTTATTGATATTGTTCCTTACGGGTAAAGAAGCAGATGATGGCGGAGAATCGTCATTATAGTATACTGTTCTTCTGGTACCAGCTTGTCCAAGTGCATCTGATCCGAAAACTCTACTCGGCCCTACAATTGCATAAACTATATTATTGGTACTGTGTGGCTTCATTAAAATCATTGAATTAAATATTTCATTTTGACAAATTATTTACCGGGTAAACGGTAATCGTCAGTACTCGCATCGGAATCATTCCAGCCTGTATCTGACTCGTACGTTTTACTATCCGATTGTTTGGGATCTTCAGCCCACGAGCGTCGATTCTAATAAACATGTTTTACAATTCTTTTTTTTTATTTATCCATTTAAGAATAATATATTTTTTAACAAATAGATATTAAATAGTGGTCAATAAAATTTAAAATGTGAATGGAATTGTGTAAGATCAATAAATATAAAGTAAAACATAAATATTAAGCAAATAAATAATCATTATAGTTATTTATATTCACCTTATTAAGAAGCTCCGATCCAGCTTTCTTGACTCTACGAACTAAACTGGCCCCGAAACCTTTTCTATTTTAGAAATATATATACAAGTTACTACAGGGAAAAATTGTATCTTGTATATAATTTAAAGAAAAGATATATAAATTATATATAAAATAAAATATTTACTAAACGTACTTTTTGGTAGTGCAACTGTTCAATTGTCTATAATGCTCCATAATCTTGTCCTCCAACTTTTCTTTTTGTCTATACAAATGATTAACTTTATCCCTGCAACACACGAATCGATATTTTTTAAACATTGCGAAATAAAGAAAATAAATAATGCAAATTGGAGAATAAAAATGATTGTAAATAAAATGTAAAAATTTGGAATATTAACTTTTGTATATAATACCAACTAAACCATTATACTAACGCAAATAATTTTTCTTCCATATGATAATGCTCTTTATCTTGAAGCGAATGCGTTAAAAGTTCGTGGTATTGCGCAAATAATGAACTTATATGCTCCATTAAGGAACGTCTATCATTATCCAATCCGGAATTCATTTCTAAAAGCATCTGAAAAAAAATATACATTTGACGTTTTTCACAAGGCAAATCAATTTTGCTTTGTATGTTCGTATGACATAATTATATATGTACATACATCACATCGTTCATTAAGATTATTGACTTCTATCTTCAAATCCGAACATTGTTCATCTTTGACGCTAAGTTGGCCTTGCATTTCCGTTTGCTTTAGACTCAAGCGATTCGTCTCGATTTTATTCTTTCTGTAATCATCTTGCAAACTCCTATACTCTGCTTTTAATCTTTCACTTGCAGTGTACAGATTTCTAAAGTCGTCCTAAAATATTTGTGCAATTACAGTCCATGTACATACATTTACATTAATGAAACAAAGTATACATGCAAAATCGAACAATGCATTTCAGACATTTAAAATAAGTACCTTCAACTTTGAATGCTCTCCTCGTAAATTATTTAAGCTCTTTGTGTTATTAATCAAAGCTTCCCGTTCAGATTGCAATGTTTCACTTTTCGCTTCTAGTTGCTCGTAAGTCTCGCGCAACGTCCTGATTTCATTCTTTACATCTCTTAAATTCGATTTAAGGGCATCCCGTTCACGACGTAAATTCTCATATTCGTTATTTAATTGTTCGTGTAATGATTGCAAAGTATTCTGATCATGAAGTAGCGCGGAATATACATACTGTTGCGTGCTGCGTTCTTTCAAAAGCTAAACGTGTACAATTACAGATAAAAATCATATAAATATGCAGATTATTACAAACGCAATACAAGAAATAAGAATAAAAATGATACAAAAATTAAGTAAAACGGAATATAAATAAATTGGAATATAAATAAATTGGAATATAAATACCTCTTCTTTTTCCGCGACAAGCTGTGAATTTGCCAATTGTAAAGCGGTATGTTGTGCGGTTAATGAATTGCTTTGTGATTGTAACGTTGTTATGTGAACTTCAAGTTTTGCATTTTCAGACAATAACTGCTCCATTGCCGTTTGAGACAGAGACCACTTTGTTTGCACCTGTTCCAATTCTCGCTGAAAATAAATAATAAAATATAATGTAATAAAGTACTAATTGCGTAAATTAATGTAATAGCTTTTATATCTTTAGAATGTAAATATACCCGTATTTCCATCATAGTTTCCAAATCGCTTTCCTTGTCGGAATTGGTGGTCGATTCAGACGTCGTTTTCTCACTGCTCTCTGATATAAATGATTTTTTAACGTGATTTATTACTTCTGGTATTTGGGCAATTCTATAACACACAATCAAATTTGTACACATAATATAGATTGTAACAAAAGGAAAAAAGAATCTCTTTTCACATAAAATTATATTTTATCCATACTTTTCCAATATAGTCTCCAACGGTTGGGATAACAATATATTATCACTAAGGCCAAGTTTCTCTAGAACTGTATACAACTGTTGATTGTTTAATTTTTCTGCTACGAGATTAGACTGAAGTATCTCTAAAGTTTCTCTGTCAATTGCAGCTCGTGAATCAAGCTCTTTGCTAGATTGTTCAATTTCTTGCAATCTAAAATGAAAGTCATTTCATAATATTCACTATATTATTAAATATGACAATTTATAAAAATGATAAATCTCTTCAAACATACCTTGATATTTGTGTAAGACAATCCTGTAATTCCTGTTCAAGTTGCAAGACTTTTCTCTCCAAAACTTCTATTGTATTTGTTGCTTTATCTAAAGCTACATCTTTTTCCTAAAATAAAATACAAAAAATTATTTATACACAAGCATATGTATACTATACTTATGGGGTATAGCATGTACAGTTAATATTTACTTCAATCATTTCCCTGTATTTGTAAATGTCACGTTGTGCTGTGTCTTTCTCTTTTTCTATTGTTGTTAATCTCGATTCAAGATCAAGGCACTTGGATTTAATATCATTAGCACTGTTTTCAATTACTTTCAACTTTTCAACTTTTTGATTTGTCATTTCCAGAGTACGTTCCAATTCGTCAGCGCGTCGTTGTACACTCTCTAATAATAATTGAACACGTTGCTTCTCTTTCACTGCTATATCATAATTTTTTTCCAATTCCATCATTTTTGTATGATGAGTCTAAAGATGGTAAAGAAAAAATAATAACATAAATTTATCATTACTGAAACAAAAGATTTAGAAAAGTATAAGTTTTAATTTTAACGTACTTGGATTTCTTGTTGTTGTTTCTCAAAAGAAGTTCGTTGATTTTTTAAGGTATTTTGAAGTTTTTTATTTTCTTCTAATGCTTGCTTGCAGACCAATTCCAAATCGGAATTTTGTTGTGTAAGTCTTTCTTTATTATCATTTAATGATTCAATCTTCAATGAAAGTTTCTTTATTTCTTTTTCCAACTCCAAAATGCGAGACGAATTTTCATAAAACGAACTTTCTTTTAATGAATCGATCAAAGTGTTTAAACGACGATTTTCTAATTCTAATTTTAATGCTCGCGTCTGAGCATTACTTGTTAGTTGTTCAGACAGTCTATTATCATCGTGCACTAAACAAATTAATGACATTTAGCCTTATTTATTAAAAATAATGATAATAATGTTTTGTTATTCTGTAATAAATACCTGGTTCTTCAGAATCGCTAGATCCTGCTAATGCAGCCTCACTAGCAGCAGCTTTTGTCAATTGATGCAATTGTGTATTTTCTTCAACAAGTTCTTGATATTTTTCTTTATCAGCAGCACGTTCCTAAAAATTATTTTTAATTTATTATTAATTCTATGTATTTCTCTATTAGGCTTATAATATTGCACAATTTTCTGAAACTTCTTACCAATGCCATATCATTAAGTAACTGTTTATATTTAATAATTTCAGATTCAAGCTCTAATACTTTGTCTGTCCTATTTCTTGATGAACTTAATTGTTCCTCAAGCATTTCTCTAGTCTCCATTAAAACTCTTAAATACATACAATAAACATTTTGTAGCAATTATTTTACTTATATTGTTGAAATATTATAAGAATAATGTAAATATATTACCTATTGTCTTCACGTAATTCTTCTATCCGAGTTTTATAAAATTCAATATCTGTGAGTTTTTCTCTATACCGTGCTACTTCAATTTCTAAACGATCCGCTCTATCTGCTCTTTCAATTACAGCATCCAATTCATCCCTGTACGATTTAGCAGTACGAGCTTCATGCATCAGTTCTTGGTGCTAAAATTATATACTTTATACATATAGATTTCTCCACTATAAAAATTTATTTAATATACATTACCTCTTGTCTTAGTTTTGTAAGTAATGCTTTATTATGCTCCAATTCTTCCTTACATTCAAGTAAAGCTTCCGTTTTTTCCTCCCTATAAAATTTTTATATAAGTATTAAAAAGTTATAACAGTATACAATATTGAGAGACATGTGCAATTTAATTATATCACCGCATCATGCATGATCAAACAGAGATCTAGACATTTTCATTGAAAATTATTTTTTTCAAAAAATACAATCAATTAAAAACATTTATTCTATATTTTTTCATATTTTGTAAAAAATTACTTTCTTGCTAATTATATCAAAATTTAATATATAAACGCCTTAATCAGATAAAAAGAAAAAATATTTTGAAAGACACACATACAATTCTTGGCGCTGTTTCCGAACTTTAGATTTCCAGTCAGCCAATTCCGCATAATGATGATTATCTTCTCTTTCTGCTTTGGTGACAGGATGAGATTGTTGCGTCTTACTCATTTCTTCAGATTCCGCACTGATAGAGGAGTCATTTCTTTCAACACTATCATCTAGCGCTGCATCTCTCCATTTCTATTTTAGTTGTATGTAATTGTAATAAACAATTATAGAGATGCTTTCTTAAAAACATGAATAAAAGAGTCATCCATTACAAGCAATTATAAGATTGAGACAAATAATATACCTCTCGATATAAATTCAATTCTTGGAGCCATTTTTTAATTTGGACAAACAGATAACCCATGTTAGCATTTTCCATGCCATCTTGTGTAATGACTATATCTTGATGATCTGTAACCTAAACATATTAAATCACAAAAATTAATATATTATCATCTATAAATTTTATTAATGATATTTATACTGCACCTGTTTAATGCACTCCACTATTGCAAGTTGCATGTCAACATGTAGTGTTTTTATCTTGGTAATAAATTTTTCCTTATTTGGACATTGGACAGCACATCCAAGAAGTAGCAACAGCAACAATTTCATATCTGCTATATACAATTCCGGTTCCTTTCCTAAATTTGAAATGTCTGGTAATTTTAAAATTAAGTGATCCAATTCCTCTTCATAAAATTGCTTCATATTTTGTACTATAGTCTTCAAGTTTTTTGTTCGAACAACAGGATTGCCATTGGAAGGCACTACTTCGTCGTGCAGTGGTTCTGGATTGCTGATGAATAACAAAAACAGATTTTATTTTTTGAGAATTATATCATTTTAATATCTTAATATAATCGCAACTGCGTGTATATAAGCTAAACAACTAACAATTCAATCTTTTTACTGCATTCACTTACATTTGCAGAAAGACACTGTGCAACAAAGCACCATCCACTAAATCTTCATAATTTATATTGGGATCTTCCAGACAGCTGACAAACTATCGAGACAAAAATATGCGAATGTGTCATGTAATATAATCGAATCGATACTTAAATATACACTCTCATTGTATCGAGAGTTCATCCAAACTTACCCAGGTGACCAACGGCCCGGTCAAAAAATCGTCAATCTCCGAGGAAGCCATCTTCATATTTCGTACAGAATAATCGTACAGTTATCATTTGATAATTTCGTTGATATATTTTTTCTTCCGAACACAGTGATGCAAAAAATCGGAGCTGTCAAAAAATCGTCAAAATCAGCTCTTGACGTTTCCCCTCCGTAAACTCGTCCGTAAACGCGATATTCGCTCCCGCGATTCGTCGCAATCGAGATAAGAAATTTCTCCGGATTTATTCGTTGTTGATCGTCCGCGAGTGCCGAACGGTTTAAATCGCTGCGGAATCACAGCGGCGGCAAGCGACCGCAATCAGCTGGGGAGGATCATCGCGCCTTCAATTTCGTCACATTCGCGCGGAAAGAACGCATTTTGTGCTTTCTCAATCGAGACGACGCTGACTTTCGCTCAGGAACGAACAGCACGTCCGCCGATACGAGAGAAAAATCGGCGGTTTTGACAGTTGTTCGTTTTCACAACAAAGCAACAATAATCGCGAATGAGGGGGATGAGCGTCGCGCAAACTCCATCAATGGATCGGTCGAAAGTCTGTTCGAACGACATGCGTGAACGCGTACGACCTACATGAAGCTAGCCGACAAAAATTATAAAATATGATTATTTTCACTTTTTCTGAATATATTTCGTTTGTAAATCGTTTGTGATCGATTGTGAGTCTGTTTTTAACATTTGTGACAATTAATAATTTTTTTAATCGTGAAGTTATATAGCCGACACTTTTTAGTAATAAACAGATTTTGTAATAACTAACAATTGTAATCGATAGGAAATCGTTTGTGATTTACAAATATATCAATATAATTGTTTGTGAGTTAATAATTTCTTTATTATTTGCAATAATTTTATAATTATAGTGCGCATGCGCAAAGTACTAGGGCTCTAGCTAATAGCGCGTACTTTATCATACTTTACAACTTGTAAATTAATATTATTTTATAAATAAATAATACTTATCTAATATATCCTTGTGTTATTCTTGTTATTATATAATTCCTTAAATAATTCTCGTTTGTTAAAAAGTGTCGGCTAACTTTACGATTTAAAAAAAATTACAAAAAACCTAATTTGTCACAAACGATTTACAAACGAAATATATTCAGAAAAAATGAAAACAATCGTATTTTATCATTTTTGTCGGCTAGTTTCACGTAGGTACGCGTACGTGTTTAGAAATTCGTGGTGGCGTTCCAAAATTTACTCCTTGACGCTCGACCAATCAGGACGAAGGAACTCTAGTTACTTTCCGTCCGATTCCAATCTTCACATCATGCGCGATGCCGATTGGTTGACGTTTCGAAAACTCGTGCTTTCGAACGCGGCCAATTGTAAATGAAAACAAGATTGACATTGACAATTTAAATTTTCAGTTTGTTTCAGCGTCAGACACATACATATGCGAATTTTACTTCCACGAATATAAAATAAGGATATTTATCAGGACTTTTTGTACACATTTTGTTTGTAATTAATAGCGAATATTCGAGCGATATGGATAAAGAGAATCTGTTAATACCGTAAGTTAATATTTGTAAATAAGTAAGATTTGTGAAGTAAAAGAGCAAATCGAAACATCTTGTGTATCTTTTCATCTCTGCTCGTAATTTGCGAATTGCATTCAAATCACGATTTACAGATTATAGATGTTACAAACTTAGCAAATGTTCAAAACAAAATTGCCAAAATTAGGTTAGGTAACTTTACTTGAAATAATTTAATTTAATTTTTATCTTTAGAGACCCTACATCTTTCTTTTGGAAACAAAACAGAATAAAAACATTCAATAGCTGGCCTTTAAAAGCATCCGACAAGTGTAATGCTAAAAGTATGGCTGCTGCTGGATTTTATGTTATCGGAGACAACAATGAACCAGATCTGGTTGAATGTTTTATTTGTGGAAAACAACTCGATGGCTGGGAAGCACACGATGATCCATGGTCAGTTACATGCAATTAAATAATTTTGCATATCATATTCATCGCCTGGTGTTATTCCTTTTGTAATAAGCATTCTAAAATTCTATGGTAATTTATAGGAATGAACATATAAAACATTCATCAAACTGCACCTTTGTAAAATTGAATAAGGAGAATGAAATGGAATGGACGGTGCATGAAATGTATGATTTATATAAAAAATATCAAATAAAAAGATACGTAAGTACAATTGTACATCTGTGAGTCAGCTCCAATTATCAGCTTCTATTTAATTTGCTCAATATTTAATGTTGTATATCTGTTTTATAGATGGATGAATTAAATAAAAAAATTGTTGCATTGAAAGACGAAGCTGCAAAATCAAAAAGTGACCTATTAGCTACATATAAAATATCACGAAAAAATAAAAAAAGCAATGGTAGCTAATAACTCGACTATATTAATTTTATACATAATATGATAAAAACATCTTTTTGCATGAACAATGTGTTGTTTTTCAATTTATTAAATTTGTATTTCATAAATAATAAATTTATTATAATTAATATATATCGTAATATTGTATAATTATCTTGAAATCGATTTTACTCCCAAACACACATATATATATATATATATATATATATATATATATAGGATGTTCAAATCTATCAAATAAAGCATTTTCTATTTTTATCAACAAAAATATCGAGGAATTGATCATTTCTAAGCAATGAAATCAAAGATTTTTTTTAATTGGAAGGATTTTTTGTAAGTGTTAACAAAATGTATAAGAACATTTATATATCTATGTATATAGTAAAAATCTTATTTATTATACACATTTTTTCTATTTAAAAAATGTATATCAATGTACTTTTGCAAGTTGAAAGATATTAAAAATGTAATAAATAGACTCTCTAAAGCACCAGAAATGGTCAAGAAATTGACAGGTGACTACATATGAAACACCCTCTATATTGTCCTATATACAGTCTGTTGTTCTATTTTTACACGTGCATCCTGTTGCAATCCATATACATAATGCCGACTGATCAGAAACGCATCAATGGACCAGAAGCTTCTGTTCCATATGATATTTATATCCATTCGGAATTAAAGGACAAAGGGATACAATTTAATGCTCCAAAAAGACATGACGGCCGGTCAAATGACGAGCTTAGAAATATATGTAAGGTTATGTGATTAAAGTTATGGATTAATCCACAAGTTCAATTTTTTTTAGAGAAAATTTAAAATGAAAATTTTGTCGGCAGTTTTAAAAATAGGTATAGTTAGCCAGGCTAAAGGTTCCGCATACATCGAAATGGGCAATACCAAAGTCATCTGCTCGGTATTCGATCCTAGAGAAGTGCCTAATAAAACTGGTTATTGCGTGCAAGGGGAATTATTTTGTGAATTCAAATTTGCACCCTTCTCTCATCGCAAACGGAAACTGTATCAGCAAGATGCCGAAGAGAAGGAATATAGTTTAATATTGCAAAGAGCTTTGGAACCAGCTGTGTGTTTGGTATGTTTTTCACACACTTTTAAAACAATACTTGTGAAAATCGATAATTGACTGATAATTTAAAAATGTACTTATATAATTACTCACCATTATCTCTATTTTAGCAAGAGTTTCCCAATTTCCAAGTTGACGTTTATGCAACAGTTCTTGATAATGGTGGGTCTGCATTAGCTGCGGCGATAATGGCAGCTAGTTTAGCCTTAGCAAACGCTGGTGTGCCAATGTTTGGTTTAGTCACTGCGTCCACTATAGTGAGTTAATTAGTGTATTGTGTATTAATTTTAATTTGATATAATCTGTGCGGCTAAGAAATGTCTTATTTACCTCTCCAGGGCATATACGATCACACGTATTTAGTGGATCCAACAGACAAGGAAGAAACTACGTGTTGTACAAAATCTGTATCAGGCACAGTTCACGATCATGGGATTATAATACAGGCTGCTCTTTCACAACACGGCCAAGTTTCTGAAATGTTTGTAGTAGGAAGTATCGATACAGATACCATTGTACATTCCATGGATATTTTAAACAAGGCTCACAAAGATATAAGTCCCTTGTTGGAACAGTGTCTTGTAAAGACCGTGTTCAAAGCATTTCGCCCAAAAATTAAAAAAGCAGATACAAAATAAAGAAGATATAGTATTGAAGTTGCCATGAAATTATATTTCCTATTATAATTGTATGAATGGAACTCGGTCATTTTTTAAACTTACTATTATAACTTTTTAAAGCAGTATTTGAGATGTAATTTTTATTTTGCATTTTTTTTTTTTATATATATTTTTTATATTTAAAATGCAACTAATTGTAAGCGACATTTATTCTCTCAAAGATTTTCTTAATTATTCCATTCTATATTTTTTTATCTTTTTTCTTCCAAAATTAGAATGCACATCTATATTTCATCTAAAATACAAATGGTGCAACTCCAATATATATATTTTTAAGTGATAGATTATTGTCAAGCAGAGAAGACATTTGTAAAAAAGATATGAGAGAATAAAGTAAAAATTCTATTACATTTGTTTTACACTACTGCGTTAAAGAATATTGTGGAAAAAAACAAAGTTTTCATATACATTATATTATAATTTATTAAATTACATTATAATTTAAAGAAGGTCAAATAATCTCGAACGAAAACTTTTAATTGGTTCCCTGAAGCAAGAATAATTTATATGCGATTAGCGCAGTAGTATCCGCCGATAAACAATTGACCCGTGGCATTCGAAAGTCTTTATTTACATCTATTTATCCCCGGCGATTCGAAATGACGAGGATACTCATTAAAATGTGTTGAATAGGAAAAAAAGAGAAGGAAAAAAGAGGCAGGTAGAGGACGGGAGGAAAAAAACGGAGCATGACGCACTTGGCGGCGCATGCGACAGCGACTCGCAGTCGTCGGTAATGGTCATCAGTGATGCATCGCGACGCGGCCAATACACTTTAATTTCAGACATAAGCGCGTAACAATTATCCGCTCTCGCGGAATCGTCCGGGAGTCGTCGCCTCGCGATCGTCGGCCATTTTGCCAGCCGTAAGGAAAAGGAAACTAGGTATGGCCATCTGACATTCTACCTACACGCCAATTCCTGCGACAAGTTCGTCCGACAACGCGACTTTGCACGGCGAAAACAACAACGCAGTTACGAAGCGCGTCGACTCGGTGTTTACGTCGGGAGCGAGACAAGGATCGTCTCACTCGCGCGTTCTTTCTTCGCCAGTCATGGCAGTCATGCGAGTCGCGCGACAACCGAGAACGAGTGCATTTGTGCATAATCGTCGCGTGTGACGTCTAACCTATACGGCTCCGTTTCGTAAGAGAGTACGAGAGAGTGAAAATTCCGCCCTTCTTTCGTTTCAGGACAAATATGCGATCGACCGATTTGACAGGTGTTGACAGCGAGTGAACAGAAAAAGCGCGCACGAGAGCGAAAGCGAGAGATTACGCCGGCGTTTTGCGACAAGATTTTCTTGTATGTACACAACGCACACACCGTCTCTCTTTATTTACAAATCAAACTACTCGCTTGTATAAACGTCAACGATGCACGACGACCGAGTGCTCGGAATTATGCGAAAAATTGCATCCGCTCCGAGCGAAATTCAACAATAATCAATGCGATTTGTATGAGAAGGTATATTTGTACGCTTTCTTTTGTACGACGGGATTCTATATTTGTATGCTGCATGAGACGTTTACTCGATAAGAAATTTAAATAATCTCTGCTATGCGACTCTGACCAAGTTTTATTCGTATATTTAAGCAATAACACACAGCGAGGCCGAAAGAATACTCCACTCCACTGCAACGGAGACACACCAATGGATAGCTGAAATATTTTTATAAGATTATAAGCTCATAAAGAAGAGAGAGAGAGAGAGAGAAAGAGCGTACAGTGCTGGCAGATTATAATGTTTCATATGTAATAATATTATTAAGGCGTTACGTAGAAAGTTGATTATCCAGATTGTTGCAGCATAGAAAGGGGAATACTTTTGATAACGTGCCAGTGAATCCTGAGCGAGAGATCGCACGTTGAGTGCCACATGTATACTAGAGTGGTTCGAGAACAATCAACTTTGTGCCATGTACAGAAATAATATTTGTATCTGCCGAAATTAATATATCTGTTATATCTGCGGTATGAGATGTACGGAGGATAAAGCCTGACCCGAAGGCTGTTACGTACTCTGATATAATACGTCTGCATCGTTCATCAAAAATATGGACGAGAGAAGAGTAGCGGATTATTTTGTTATCGCTGGTTTACCCGGTCAAGATGATGAGTTTAGCGAGGATATTAATGACAGTAATGATAAACTGGAGGATTGGTGTCAGGAAGGCACTCATCTCAAAGACATGCACATGCCACCTCCTATCACAGATCTTGCCGTAATATTTCCCGCTCTCGGCGAATATTGTCCCGAGGGATATACATTATTGGAACAATCCGTATCAGGTTTCCCGGCCGATTTGAATCACGGGAGTTTACGAACAAACGAGTGTTACTTATGTTACAGAAGAGGACGAGACAAACCTCCTTTGGTTGATATTGGTAAGGAAAAAAGGGATACATTTTAGAAAATAGGAATTATGAAATCAACATTAAAAGAAGCAATATAGTAAACTCTAGATATGTTAAATTTATATATTTTATTCTTCGTAGGTGTAATATACGATGGAAAAGAACGTATTATGCAAGATGCTGAAATGGTGTTGGAGACTCCTAAAGGCCATGTGGCAAACGTAAATAATTCTACTTCAAAAATTTTTGTAACCTACAGACGAGCGAGTCGAAAGATGCCTTGCAATTCTCTCGTTGTTACTGACATATGCGTTATCTTGGCAAATAAAGGGGAGAGCCCTCCACATGCATTCTGTGTCATCAATAAGAATTTGAACAAAGGAATGCTAGGCAGCGATGTATTTTTGTGCTACAAAAAGTCCATGAATCGCGCTAATTTGATATCATTTAAGCCAGCAATACTCTACAAATATCCTACAGCTGATTACAATAGTTTTGTCTTTCCGAATTCTGTCGCCATGTTTTGTCTACCGATGGGTGCGACTATAGAATGTTGGCCTAAAGTAGCGTGTAAACCTAAACCAGTATTCTCGACATTTGTCTTAACAGGCGATGCTGCTCAAAAAATGTATGGCTCAGCGATAACGTTTTACGAGGAGCTTCAACTGGAAACAGACACATCAAATTGTAAAAATAATCAAGAAATCATGGATACAGTCGAGAATAATAAAAATAATGGTACTAATGTATTTCACAATCTTAATTTTCAAATCTCTTGACTTTTCTCTATAATTGATTGTTATATCTAATATGGAAAGTAAGGAATATTTTTTCTTAAATTTTATATTTTATTACATGTATATTTTTTGTTTCAGCAGATAGTATAGAAGTGATAACCAAAAATAAGTCACAAAAAATAAAATTATTCAAGAGATCTGGTATACTTAAGAAGCTCAGTATACTGCAATTGGAAAAGTTGCAATACACAGATTCTGCGAGCCAATCGCTGAATATTAGTAAATCTATATGTATACTGTCCCATTGGCCGTTTTTCGACACGTTCGAAAAGTTTCTAGTTTTTCTGCATAGCATGGTGAACGGTAAACCGCAAAGTGTACCGATTGAAAAGTACATTTCATATTTTTTATGCGATATACCATTCCCGAGCCCGCAGCGTCCGAGAATCTTGGTACAACTCAGCAGTCGAGACAGATTGATCTTGACGCAACCGGAGGATTCGGCTCTGCCTAGATCAGGCGCTAGTTTCAGGCAACTGCTGATAAACTTGGGACCTGACAATTGTTTATTAATACTATTATTAATATTAACCGAGCAGAAAATACTGGTTCATTCCTTACGTCCGGATGTACTTACTTCAGTGAGCGAAGCTATCGCTATGATTTTGTTTCCTTTTAAATGGCAATGCCCTTATATACCATTGTGTCCTCTAGGATTAGCAGAGGTAATGCATATACATATACACACACATTTTTATATTGTTTCTTTTCAATGTTTGATTATAAATGTAAAAAATTTGTAATGGTAATTATTAAGATTTACATACACATTTATAGGTACTGCATGCACCATTACCATTTCTGATTGGCGTGGATTCAAGATTCTTTGATTTATATGATCCTCCCTCTGATGTCAACTGTGTAAATTTGGATACCAATAACATAGCAATATGTGAAGACAAAAAATATTTAAATGTAAAATTATTACCTAAGAAAGCAGCTAGGCAGCTCAGAAATTGGTTGGAGATGTTGTCCTCAAAAATAATCTCGTGGGGAAAAACTAATTGTTCCCAAAAAGGTATATTATTATTAATTTATATTTCCTTTTTTTTATTTATTGATATTTATTTATTATGCTTTCAGAGAGGGGCGACGAAGATTTTAGTGTGGACAGAGAGTTTCAACAAAAACGAAAAGAGCAAGCTTTAGAACTTGAAATACAGGATGCCTTCTTAAGATTTATGGCAACAATTCTCAAAGGATACCGAAGTTTTTGGTACCAATTACAAAAGCACCTACTGTAGGGACGACAGATTCGACAAGTTTATTTAATTTTCAAGCGTTTTTAAGAACTCGCGATAAAGCCCACGCTAAATTTTACTCCATGCTCGTCAAAACGCAAATATTTGCCAGGTGAATAAATTTACACTTTTCTTTTCAATTTTATAATCACGCACACATTCACACACACACAAAATATCGTGTAATTGCTAGGTATAATTTTTATTTTATTCTAATAAAAGAATAAATTTACAGATTTATAGAAGAAAGAAGTTTTGTTTCTGATATGGATATGGCAGGATTAGCATTTTTCGATGAGTGTACAGAACGAGTTGAGGAAGAAAATGGTATGAATAAATTAATACATATTTTTCTATATTATTAAAGTGTATGTAATATGGAAAAATGGTTTTTTATTTCTTGTTAAATTTTTAGTAATTCTTTTGGAACTGGATGAATCTCAACACAGCGAACGTACAGTATTTATACCTCCACCTGAAGCAGGAACGAATCAAACACCAATAATATATAAATTGTTCAAATTGAACCCGGATCTAATGAGGCCTCAAAAGAACTTTTCTTTGAAGAATCCATCTTTAAGTGCCTTTAGTATGGTACCTGGGAGTCCTATGGCTCGTAGAACAAAGCATGAAATCAAAGTTGCTCAAAGGATGGCTAGAAAACAAGTAAATAAAACGATATATTATAATAAAACATTTATCTTACACGCAGTTAATAAAATTTGCTATTGTGTATTTATACAGGCTGCGATGCCTGACAGATGGGGTAGATGTTTGCTTGGTACATGTTATAGTCTTTGGTTCTTACATTTACCAGCCATGTTGCAAGTTTCCAATCAACCCGCTGCAATTTTGCATCAAGCTTACGAATTATTAGTTAAAATGCAAAAATTACGTCTCGATCCTATGGAAGAGGTATGTGAAAACTTTGAATTATAAATCAGTAATAATTAAATAGTTCAAGAAAAACATTGATGTATTTAAATATACATTTTAGGTATGCTACAGAGTTATGATGCAACTTTGTGGTGTATATGGTCAACCAGTTTTAGCTGTAAAGTTACTGTTTCATATGAAACGAAGCGGCGTACAACCTAACGCTTTAACATATGGATTTTACAACAAGGTAAACTATTAGTTATAACTTAAATTAAACTAATAAATATAAGATATCTGTCAAAATGTAAATTTCCACAGTTATGTAAAATTAGTAAAGAATTTTCTTTATGTTAAAATATCATTAAAATTTTAATATTTCTTTATATGTTAAAATAGGCTGTTCTCGAAGCAACATGGCCTTCCGATATGACAAATTCGAGTCAACTGATGTGGAACAAGTTGCGAAATGTCATTGTCGGCGCAGCGTTATTTAAAAAGGCTGGGAAGAAGAGCGCTAGAAGACGATTGAGTTCCAATGTAGATTTTTTAACTACCGATAAGACTGAAGGCATGGAACATGCTTTTTCTCGGTCTAGTCTCGACAGTTCCCATTCTCAAGACACTGAAGCTGCGCATAGTGATTGTGAGTTTATTTTATTCATTTTTTGTTTTTTTACATGCGACTTTACCAGTTTTCTGCTAAATAACGATCTCCCTTCATTCGGCAGCCACTAAAGGCAGTTCTGTATCAGATTTACCTGGATTCGGATCATTTGATTTGAAAGCTAAAGCTCTTCTTCGGCAGAATAGTATTGTAAAAGACCAAGCGACATTGAGTATGTTACAATCGGACGAATTGGAACGGGCACCTAGTAATCCAAGGTATCTTATATGTTCACTATTCACTAGGATTTGTGAACGTTAGTCTCGCTCTCAGGTTTGCTCAAGTCGCTGAAATCGCTTGTTTTTCTTTTATAGATTATATACATCATATTATTTTACTAGTATTACGATAGTAAATGCAAGAGAGAGTATATTTATTGTATAGAATATTTGTTACAGAAATTTTATGTAATAATTAATCTGCGTGTATGTGTTGAATATCTTACAGTGCTAATTTGCATGTATAGGCTTATGTAGACGTAATATTTTTTACGTAGGCTAACGCGCAGTGTTGAATCACCATTAAAAAGTCCCGTACGCACACCAGTTACGGAAAATGACCCATTGGGTGCTCTCATTAATGACGAAACACCGATTGTGTCACCTTCCGAGGAGAATGATTCAAATTGCTCAACAAGTACTTTAACTGTTTTAAATAATACGACTGAAGAGAGACCAGGAGGGCCGCTTTTATTTAGAAGGTATGATATATAACTTGTATCTGCATGTAAAACATTGAATTTATATATATTGATACAAATATTTAGATAAAAGATAAAAAAAAGTGAAATTTAGAAATAAATATAGAGTCAAATTATGGCAACAAATACTTTTCAAAAAGAAAAAAAACATAAGATTATAATTCTCACAGTTACATCTAATGGGAAACTGTTACTGGTGATGAAAATAATCACGAGTACTTGCACACTAAAAGTATATTTCCTTTTGTAAAGACTAGCTGCGTTAATCATGCTTCATAATTTTTAAATACGTATATATCATTTCATTCCATATATTTAATTTTAAACACAAAAAGCATTCTAATGTGTTTACAGCAACATTCTCCCACGTAGTGCGACCTTTCATCAAGCAGTAGATGAAAGTGGCATGACAGTGGGTGGACATTTACAGAGAAGCGAGACAATGCCTCACTCTGTGGCGCAACAAGGTGAACAGGAGAGAGAAAAGGAGAGACTAGAAATAAGCAGTCTTTGGTCTCAAAATAAGGATAGTGTAACATCCAGCCTCTCTAGCTTAGGATCTAGTCTTAAACTTAGTTTTGGGTAAGATATTTGCGAGATATTTAATTTAAAAACATGCACCGTTTGTAGTTAAATAATAATTTGCACAGTGTGCATTGTCTCTTCATTCCTCCAAAATGTGGATATATGCTCAAGATGCCATTATACTTAATATTTTGTAAATATAGAAGAAAGAAAAAGTATAACTGTCTTGCATAAAAAGTACATAAATGAATCATACTTTTATTTTTGTTATATAAATATCTACTTTTTTTTTAACAAAATATATAATGCAAATTGCATAATCAATGCACGTGAAAATTACGAATATATACATATATAATAACGTCTCTGATAATTAAATATTTTTTAATCACATTGATGGAGGAACGATGCGTTATTTTCGTTTATTTATTGTTTTGCATGCGCATTTGTGTTTTTATTTTATACGTTAAATGTAGACGATACTCCACGGGTGGATTGGCGTTTGCTAAAAATAAGGATTTAATATCATCGAATCAACTTATTGAATCTCTTAGTCTCTCCAGTTATATCAGGTATGTAATGTAAATAGCTGCATAGATGCTTATTCGATATGCGTTCTATTTTTCTATGTCTCTTTTTATTGTTATAGAATTGTTCATTTATAATAGTCACACAAATTAATTTTCCTCTGATCGTGCGTTCTCGATTCTATAAAGCATAAATTCTTCTTTTAGCCCATCAAGCTTAACAGGAAAAAAATCCAACGAAATAATACTTGGTGGTCTGAATAGCTTGAAATCTGCTGCAACAACTGTCGTCAAAAAATTCGACGAGATAAAAGAGGCCATCTCAGCGACGAGTACACCAGTAAAAATAAGGAACGTGAACAAAAAATAGCTTATGGAATATCACACGAATCTTTAGATTCTCTTACCGATGGATCTTTACAAGATCGAAACGAAACTTCCATGAGAGCAGCTGGTTTGTAATAAAAATTACACAAACGATGAACACATTATATATTTATATTTTGCAATAATATTCATTTTTTTAAACAGGTGATGGAGGAAATTTAGATTTGTGTTCATTATACGAACTCACAGAGTGTCTGTATCCAAAGGGCACTAGAGAGTTGGAGGAACGTCTTGCCATTGAGCTTGTGCTTTCCAGTGCCAGTAGATGCCATCATTGCGCCGCTATCCTATACGATGAAGAAATAATGGCTGGTTGGCAACCAGAAGATTCCAATTTAAATACAGTTTGTCAGTATTGCGATAAGGCTACTGTACCTCTTCTTACAGTTACAATATTAGATTACAGGTAAAAAACCATATTATAAGCGTCCTTATCCTTTCATAATTATTAAAAGAATTGAGAATAATATTAACATTTATTTATGCAGATGTGAAGCGAGCGAAAAAAATAACGATCCTTTAATGGGAGCATTGGTGGAATTGCTAGATCAACCGAAGGAATCGAAGGAACCGATAACGGTACCTTATCTAAACCCATTAGTTCTGAGAAAAGAATTGGAGAGCGTGCTAAGTCAAGAGGGGGATGCCTGTCTCACTAAGCATAAGTTTATTCAGGAACATCCGATAGTATATTGGAATCTGATTTGGTACTTTGAAAGAATTAATTTAACAAGCCATCTACCTGATCTCTGGTTGAATAACGATAAGAATTCAGAACTTCAAAGAACTGTAGGATTGGTGGGTGTCAGAACAATGTGGGACAATGAACGATTACATATGGATCGTTTGCCTATGTATCTCCAATGGAAATTAAATTCTACAGAGGATAGAACGTAAGTTTTCAATAGATTGTCTTTCAAATTACTAATTAGTAAACACAATATAGTAGTTGGTTAATTAAATTAAAAAATATCTATATATTGACTTTTTTTATGAATTAAAGGAGAAATTAAAACAATAATTATCTGGATTATTAAATAATTGTACCTTTTTTTTTAATAAGTAAATATACAAAATAATTGTCATTTTATTAATTTTGTTTTATTTCTAGATTGATGCAAGCAGTGATAACATATGTCCGTTGCAACGACTTAGCAGAACCTATAATAAGAGTGGCCTTAGAAAGAAGTAAACATCAAACAGGCGATCATCCATTTTCTATATATAGGGATATTCTGTTTTTGGCATTTATTGTATTGGGCAGAACGAATATTGACCAAGGTGGGTATAATCTTTTAAAAAATTATGTAAAGCTTTTGACTAAATAACTGATCTAATTATTGAGTCTAATTATTTATCAAGTTTGATTGTAGCATATTAATTTCAATTTCTATAACAATAATAATGATCATCATTCTTACAGGCGTATTCGATAGAGAATACAGTTTATCTCTAGAGAAATTCTCTGAAAATGAGGAGAAATTATTGCATAAAATTGACGCTCCACCAACGATGATGTCGGTATATTGCAGGCATTATTTTAAGCAATTAAATGTTTGAGAAACACGAACAGCCGTGAATAGTTCTGAAGAAAAGTTATTCCTTTCGAAGCATCGGAGGAAGAGTGCGATGTTGCGCGAATAGTGAATGCTTGTAAGTACGAGCATTTATAGCTCTATTTTCAAAATTGTGTGCACGAGAGAAACGAATTACGTGCATAAAGAACGATGTTCGAATCAGGCGTTGTTAAAATACGTTTCATCGCGTGTCGAAATGTCTGACATAATATCATGTAATGTCATTGACATTTCTTCTACACGTTGAAGGTTTATCTTTAACACGAAAATTGTTAATGTTATTAATGATGATTTACATTCGAGCTACAACGCCACTTCTTGGAGCGCGCCAATTACGATCGATATCGTGCGAATCGATTCTTCTTTTTTTCTTTTCTTCATAAAGTTCTGCTTACCCGCTGACGTCCGTAATAGATCATAGATATTGTCTTTGCTTGCGCAAAAATATGTATAATCGGACCATTCGAGCTTATCAAATTCTCCAAGCGGACGACACGCACGCACGCGAAAATTGATAGACGAATAGTTATCGGATCGGTTGCATCAACAACATTTCACACAGTTAGCTGAATTTTCTTATCTTATTTGTGTCGCGGTGAGAAAGGCTGTGATCTAGGAAGAGATGGAGAATTACTGATCGTAATTGGCCGCCAAGAATTATTGATGCTATCGATCTCGAAATCAGGTCAGTGCAATATCGAGTTGAATAATAATAATTTTTAACTAATATCGTACATCTCTTCATATGTTTAACACAATTGTTTTTAATGATTAATGACTTTTTCCTTGTTTTAATCAATTCGATCGCGTATGCCTCTGATTTTAATTCGCGCGGCGCATCAGCAATATCTAAGAGTACAATGTTAAAAAGTATTAAGTACCAAAGATGTTATATGGACTGTAAAAGCGACTGCAAGTTCAATTGCAACTGCAAATTCCCTCCAGGTGTGCTGTGACCTTAAATACGTTTCAGTTCGATGAGTGAGGAGAAAAAACTGTCACGTGTGGATGTAAAAAAACAAACGAGCATCTAATATACTATTTTTTTTATCGCAAAAAGAGAAAGAACAAAATATCGCGTGGCGAAACGCAGTATTCTTTCCTTGTACTCTTAGATAGAAACAATTGTTTATCGCACGACGAACACAGTATAAATATCGTTTCTCTACTCGTTCCAGGTGAAAAGTGCTCTTCGCAAGGGCGTGGCGTTAAACTCGATTGCTTATCCTCAGAGCAAATACTTAGTGTGTGAGAGTGAATATTTTTATGAATTTTAGACATTTAAAGCATTTGTAATAGTTTAGCGTGATAGTTTAATTAGGTGACATTCTGTCCACAATTTATTCAAAACGGAATAATGAGATTATTTGTCGCAAGGAGACTCATTAACACAGTCTTTCACAATGTCGTGCACTTTTCACCCTGGACATTGCAGATGAATGTATGTTCATTCGATCCAATACTATGAATGTAGATTACGAGAATAAAGTCAGTTGAGGTATTTTACAGAAATTGTTTGTTTCACTTTACAATTCATCTTTAGAGGGAGTATTGACTTAAACAAAACTTCTTTAAATCTAATAATGTGAATATTATTCATTTCATTTATTTAAATGAATTCTTCATTAGATAATTTTAAATCAAAATACATATCCAATGTTTGTGCTATAAACAATACTATAAACAAATCAACAAAATATAAAAAAAAATATTGTAAAGTGAATAGTAAATTGTAAGTCAATTATACTATTATTTCATATTTATATTATTAACATATTTTGTATCTTTTACAAAGAGATTTTAATTGCATTAAAGATGTTGAAAAATATCAACATTATTTCATGTAAAATCAGATTTAGGACAAGTAACAAATATATTGCTGCGCGATAATTATAAAACTGAAGCATCGTAAAAATTTCAAGAAACAAATAATATGCTTTGTTATATCACAATAACATGCATTTCAGATTTATCGTAATATTAACTGCTGTGTAGAATATTTATTCAAAAATCTTGATAACTTTTTAGTATTTTTTTTTTTTTTTTTTTTTAGTTTAACGCGTCGCCAACCGGTACAGTATATATTTATTTACAGTATCTTGAACAATTAGGTTAAGTGATACATATATATTCGTGACCGAAGCATTATGTTCTTCGTTTTTATCGGCAGCAATTACGCATGTAAATCGTGCAAAAGTATAACTAAAAGCTTGCAATTATGCCTTTATTACGTAGTGAGTGAAAAAGTTGAGGTTAAGTGTGAATATTTATGTCCGCGAATCGCGCCATATCGAATATTATCGAAGGACGTCGCGTCGGTCGTCTTCGGCGCTGTTCGGCAGTGCTCGGAGTCGCGGAGCCGAGCGCGGCCGAACAGCGCCGAAGCCGTCCGACGTGACGTTCCTGAATGTAGCCGCGCACTGCCGCGCCGCGCAGCCATTCGGGTCCGAGCGAGCGAAGGTGGAAGGTCGCGCGAATTTCGCTCCGCCGCGCCGTTTACGCGATTACGCGAGTGTGTGCGAATGTGTATGAGCGCGTGCGCGCGCGCCCAGGAAAGGCGAATCGAGGGAAGGTAAACGGCAGTGGTGCGTTCAATTGCGTGTGACACGGTGTCGGTTATTGCCGGACGTCGAATATTACGTTGCGCGTGTTTACAAGATCTTTGAGTATCGGAACGCGCGTTTCGCGATCGAAAATCGAAGAGTATCTGTCAACTGTGAGATCGAGTGACAACTGTTTTCTTCTCTCTTTGCATATTGTACATTTGAAACCAGAAGAAAACAGAAGATTGCAGCATGTATTCCGACGGCCACGAAGTAGACGGTAGCTGGGTGCTGCGCGTTTTCGTCACGGATCTGCAGGTCGAAAGGAGTTTACGTGTCAAGGGAGAGCTGCATATCGGCGGTGTCATGCTGCGTCTCGTGGAAGATCTCGGTGAGTACATGTACATACGTATATCTTCTCTCTTTCTTCCTTTCGATTCTTTGTCATTCCTCTCTCTCGTCGGGATCTCGTCTAGCTCCGACTCTTGATTTTACACGCCGTACCAGGTAAAATACAGTACTTTGTCACATTTACGCATCGAACAGAGCTCTTATAATGTGTGATATTTGAAATTGTCGATAAGCAATAAGTACGAAATCACAACATGAGCTCGCAACAGGCGTTTTCAAACAGCCGGCAAAATGGCGCGCATGCATTGTATATACTTATGTGTATATGCATATATACGTATGCATGTGCACTCGTTAAATTCAAGTAGAACGATGCGAGTTCTGCTGAATGAATTTTGTTAAATCAGTTTATTACGAAAGAGGCTACAAACAATAATCGATACAAAATTCATTTTTTTTTTCAAGAAGATATTTTCTCGCGCATACTAAAGAGAAACAAGAAATAAATCAGCTCGAGGTATCGTTACCATGATAGATCAAGATAAAATATACTATACCATGTGATTGTAAAGTACGAGTCAACTTTTCAAATTTTCAAGTTTTATTTATAATAAATATTTATTTTATTTTGATCGAATATATTGGAGTAACTATATAGCAAAATATAAAGAATAAATTATAGAGAAAAATATATAAATGTGTTTTTTTTTTTTTTTCACAAAAATACATTTTAATTATTAAAAATAGAAACAAAAAATTGATAGAAAATATATTTTACACGTTAGTTTTTTGTATTAAAATAACTACCGATGCAAAAACTTCATATAATGTTAATTCATAAATAAATCTTTTCAAGTGTTATTTAAATCTTTACTGAGATTAATTTTTTTTAAGCTCTTTTGTTTTTCTACGAGACTAAAATCATTGATTGTCTTCATACCATTCATAATTAAGCAAGTTGATGCGGGACGGTTTCATTCTCGTTGAATTAGCCAATTTCGATCGATTGAGAAAGAAGAAGATGGAGAACGGAGTATATGTATATATAGGGTGGTTTATTGTTCGTGGTGAGATAATCGAAGAAAATGCGAAGGCGTGTGAAAAAGTCTTATATATAAAAAATCGAAAACATGCATAATTTGTATATGCGAAAAAAATTTTCTGTCTTTAATCTATTTTTTTTTCTGTTCTCTCTTTTTTGACGTCACGTAGCCATCCTGTATGTACACATATGTGAAGGAAAATAAATATTTGAGAAATAAAATTTAATACAAGGATACACAATTTCTTTATTGATTCTGTCATTAGTCGTCGTTTGTTTACTTTTGCAAATTATAATTTTTCGCGGAGCTGCGTGGCGATATAAAATTTCCGAATAAACGTAGCGAAGAAACATTTCCGGTGAAAAAATAATTCAAGCTCACTTTGTTTATTCGACGGTCGTGCGATAAGGAATACCTCGTCATATCTCGAACGTGATTCGCTTGCATGCGATAATGATAATTTTACACTCGATATTCTCGTTTTTTTGTCAACTGAGTATTCATCGAGTACGTAATATTTTAGTGAAGGTTAAACATATCAAATCACGTGCTGATATATGAAGAACAATCGACATTATAAGATTTTACATCAAATTCTTCTATAATAATGAATATAAATAATAATTTGATTAAAATAATTACATCAATTTAAAATGTCCAAGAAAATCAAGTTCTTTTGGAGAATGCATATGTTTTTATTTACTTCGCGAACAATTTTATTAAATTTGATTCTTTTATATTTATTTGGAAAATAATCAATTAACTTTTTGATTTTTTTCGCGCAGATTATTTTTTACGTACTAACAATAAAATACATAATTATGCTTACCCTTTAGTTAATATAATTAAAATAGAATGTTTTTTATCATAGTAATAATCCAACTCTTTATCCGCCCTTTACACAATATATAGAGATGGTCGTGACTCATGAATATGTTATAACGTAAAGTACCGAGTGGCGGATGCATTATTCAATCCTGTTTTTACGAAACCTTTGCGATGCGAGGGATGAAATTATGAATCGATGTTGTCGAAGAAAACTGAATAAATATGAATAAAATATTAACTATGTATACATTGATTTAAAAACATCGGATTATCGATTTTTTGTTCTTTTTTCAAAGAAAAAAGGCGTCGAACATGTCACACTGCGCTGCCAGGTAGAAAAATCTGGCAGCCATATCTTTTGTTGACCGGTCCTTTTTTTTTACTTTGCGGCACCAGCCCGGCCCCAACAGGTTAGCGCGGTCGTGCAGGTTCTCGCTGCATCTATCTACTGCTTGACCACTCCGAACCCGAACCGGACCGACGCGTATTACCGGCCCCTGAGTCTTATGTAAATACACCGGGTGTCCTGCAGCGCACGTAGCCGCGATCCGATGCATTACAATGAGTCACAGGGATTTCAGTCTTTGCCCCTGAATATATATCTATTTATTATAATATATATAGCCTTATTAGAAAGGAATATATTTTCTATAGATTTTTTTTAATGCACATACAATACAAATATTTGCAAGATTGACTAAACAATGCTTAATATTGATCTCGTCAAAGTTTTTAAATCACGATTTTGATCAAACAATTTTTTACAATTTTCTGTGTGTGTATCTGAAAAACGAGAAACATTAAGTTAAAATATGTGGTCGGATTTAATATATTTTTTAGATAATATGGAAAACATGAATTTTCTAATATATATAAAACTTCGAAATTTTCAAAATAATTGTATATATAATTATTTCAAAAAATGTATATACAGGGTGTTATAAAAGTACCAGAACAGCAGAATAACTCGAAAAATATGTCTTAGAAAAAATGTTAAGTACTGGGTTTTTATGATTTTTTCCTGGCTATCTGACGTTCAGATAGCCAGGAAAAAAATCATAAAAACCCAGTACTTAACATTTTTTCTAAGACATATTTTTCGAGTTATTCTGCTGTTCCGGTACTTTTATAACACCCTGTATATATACACACAACATAGAATAAATTGACATTAGATTAAAAAATCATTACAAATTAGAAAAAAATTTATATTTTTAACATAAGAATTACTCTCAAAAAATAAATAATATAAAGATCTTATTTTATTTTTATGCGCAAATTTCAATTTTAACATTTATTTAATTCTTACTTAATTATTTTGAGAACACACACACACACACACACACACACACACACACACACATGTATATATTTTGAATTGTTTCACGTTTCTCTCTCCTGAAAAAATGATCTTCTGTATTTTTACTGCTTTTAGATAAAATAGTTATACAATTTTAATTAGATTAAGAAAACAAAGGAAAAAATATATACAATGTCCTCTCAGGTATGTGCACGAAATTGTTTGTCCTGCTTCCAGCTTATATCCAAATATACGAGAAAAAAATTTCATGTTTTCTATGACTTTTGAATAATAAATTTCAAAAATAAATTATCAATGATATTTATTAACTAACAAGTATTTTCAAAAATATATATAGAAGAGAGTTTTTTAAAGAGATATTTTTAATTATGTATAATATGTATAATTTATAGAGTTTTTTTTATTAACAGCTATTCTTTTACGTTTAACAAATATTTATAAATTAAAATTAAATTATAAATGTTTTATGTTTTTTTTAAATAGTTTGTTTGGACTATAAAATAAACACACACACACACACAATAAAACTCGAATGATGCAAAAAACGATTAAACTATGTTATGTCTCGCGATTGTCGCGAGAATAATCCCGTATCTACGATTCGAACACAATCTCAAGTTTCATCTTTTCTTAGCTATTTCTTCATGCTGATTTTGTTTGCCCCATAAATTCAACATTATAATTTGTAAACACGTTGTGCAAGCAACTTCGAAATAGTTCGAGTATTTTCGTTCTTTGTTACACAACATGCAATGGTACATTATTTAAAACTTCCATGTTTTGTACAATTTCATTCTTGTTTCGAGGAATATATATAAATATATATATATTTAATTATTATTTTTTGCTTCATCTAATTTTATTCTTATATAATTACATATATACAGGGTTGGGTAATATAACTAGTTAATTAGTTTAAAGTTGAAAAAAGGTTAAAAAGTTAATAACTTTTAACTTAGCTTAATTCAAAATTTCTTTGTTATTTGTTATTATATATTTTAAAAGAATTAATAAATAAAATTCTAATTTAAAAATTAACTTTTGATTTAACTTTAGTTAATTTAATCTTAACTTAACTTTAACTGAGTTAATTTTTTGTTCATAAAACTTCGAACTTAACTAAATTAATTTTATATAAGCAACTAACTTTAACTTTAAAAAATCAAAGTTTAAAAAATTATTAACTACCCAACCCTGCATATATATGTATATTATTTTCTCTATGTGAGATGAGGATTACATATATACATATACAATGCCAGAGATAAAACTAAATCGAATGGCATTTTGCGAGCGTGTCTGATTCGATATTTACAATTAGTTCTTATCAAAATGCACGATGATGAAATGCCGCTCGAATAATTGACGCTCGTTGGTCAGACACGTGGCTTCGTGAAAGAAGAAAAAGTCAGCGACACCCGAGCCGATGTACCGTACGTCAGAACTCGACGACAAGACTGCATTCTTCTTACGACTCTTCCGCGAAGCCATAGAAGACCTGCCGCCGCGAAGCTCTCTCTTTTCACGGTCTCGAATTCCGTCATTTTGAATTTATATCATGCGTCAAATGCACGCTATTTACTTGTTTGATCAAGGCAAATTTCAAGCACGACGAAATCTTTATAAAAATTATTTCGAGATTAAAACAGAGAGCATATTAATCAGGTTTTTTGGCAAACTCGTGTATTTTTTTACGATCTCTGACTGACCATTGAAATCAGGTAGCAAAGATGAAAAGGGGGGAGATATGTGGGTGTCGGGTCGATTTTTATACGTATCTCTAGATTCTCTAGCCATCGAAGTGACAAGTAAGCGCGCGCGAAGGTTAAAATCCGAAGGTCGAGTCAC